AAAGTCTTCCATTCGTTAGTCATTTCAGGTGGATTAGAACACGTTTAGGTGGGCGTTGGCCAGATTTGTATTTTTCAGATGTAATCCTGGATAGGACCCTGTCATTGAACGTCGCGTGAAAGTGGAACTTAATGAAGGCCTTAGTACATTTTCGTAGTTTTTAGTTTTCGGATTTGAAAGATCGTCGGTTACAGTGGCCTGCTTACTGAGCAGAAAAACGCGGTCCCAGGTCCTTACATATCAAAGAGATTTATGGTAAAATCGCTTGGTAATCGTGTATTTTGCGAAACTCGTTGTTGTCGTTGGTTCCGGGTTTGAATGGATACACAAATTTGAGCAACGGTATTATGTGATATGAGGGGCTCGGTGGCCTTAGAGCAACCGTTTTTGCTTACTGAGCAGAACATCATGAGTCTAATCTCAGGCCCATCCACATTCAAGATTCGTCAATCGTTTTATTTGTTAATATGGTAATAACAGCAACTCGGTGATTAAAAAGGTGCTCGTCTACCTAGTGGCAAACGTTTTTGCTTACTGAGCAGAAGACCGTGGGTTTAGTCCCAAGCTCCTTCGCGTTATATGATCGTTAGGACATCAATTCAGCTTATCGTTTACCAAAACGAACCCTGCTGCAAACCCAACCCTCTTATCCAACATCCCAGTGATTTCTCGTGGAAGTGCAGAGGTGTTCTCGGCTTCCATCAAAGCGAGTGTCATGTCAACACAATCCTTTCCATTCCTTTCTTGACCTGTGTTCGGGCGCGGCCGGCGCTGGTATTGCCTAATTTAAGATCACCAGTTTTTACACATTGAGGATGATTGCTAGTCCCAAGCATCGTCTATTGGTTCTCTGTGTAATTACAGCTGATCTGGCAGTAACAGAGTAGCAACCGTGGGCGGTCAATCAAGCTCAAGCTCAAGCTCAAGACAGTGACTATAGACAGTCAAGTTATAGACCGGTCAACGTGAGTTGGCGTATCCAAACAAACCGCCAAATCGTATGGAAAATGTTCGTTTTGGATACAACATGGCAGCACATTGACAGGTCTATTACTATGATCGCTGGGAAGGGACTTGACAATCGGGCAGCGACTTCGAGCCAATTTGCTGTCAAATCCGAGCCAGTTGCTGATTGGTCGATTTGACAGTAGCAATCGTGGAATAAAAAGGATAGAGGGCTCACTCTGATTGGCAGTGATGCCGGAATCAATGTTGACGTCAATGGCGTTGTTAATTGTTTATATTTGCAAAATTTAAGTTAAGTTGGAAAATAGGGTCCACGGCGTGCTTTAAGCGATGGATATTCTTGTTTGTTTATGGTTGTTTTTATTGTGTTAAGAGGCAACTAACAGTCAGCCTCAGAAGGTGTCATCAATGATGATCATCAAAAAGTGGGAACGAGTTAATGAAAATAACCACCCACAACTTCTGAAGCTTTTTCCAGCCTAAACACACAAAATACATCAACAACAAGTATTTCGAAGTTTGCTCTGATTCATTATCTTAATGCACTCACCTTTTATTCAAGCAATATCTCATTTTGTTGGGTAGATATCTGCTTTTCAATAACATCGAATTTATTTTTTGGCCTAGCACTACGACACACAAAAAATCATCACAATAAAAAAAAATCCAAGCCCCAAATTGAACACCGCTTATTTTACTCACTTCCAGAAGGAATACAGTATTTGAATTGTCTTCACTACATCTGCACATATATCTACTTTCACAATCTAATAAGTTAAACCCGATTTATAATGAAAATTAGTAGAAAAACTGTATTTTTATTCACGATTTACCGGTAAACAACGAAAGATCACAACAAGACTGACACATGCGCACATTATGAATGTATGCGTTAAGCTACGCATCCCATGTTTTATCCTAGCAGCAATCATTGGCCAATGTTGCCAAAACAGTTTCATGAAACTATTACATAAGATTCAGTAAAATAAATTCTATGATTGATAGAAGCATCTTTGTGCATAGCAACTCAATTATTTTCTATTCAGGAATATTTTATTTATTGAAAAGATAAAATCATCGCCCTAGATGACACTTTTCTATCGAAATTTTGTTTTAATAAAATTACATATTTTCTCTTTTGGGTAAACCGGCAACACTACTAACCAAAATATCATATGTTCGACCATATGATTATGCTGATGTTTACAAACAAACAACACAGTGTAGCTGTGCGTGACATCCTTATCATATACCTAGTCAATATTCGAACGATGCCGCGGAAATCGAAAGCACAAATAGCTGCACATAAACGAGAAGAACTTAAGAAAATCATTAGAGCTGGTGATACAGTGAAAAATGATAGTGAAGACAAGGAGTTTCCCGTGCGTGTCTTACCCGAAGACAGAGAAAATTAATATCGCTCCAATCAGTCAATTGATAAATGATAAATTTCAGTACGGCCTCAGTGGCCGCAAAATGTTTTTTGACAAATGTCATAATTTTATTTGTTGCATTCCTGATGATCATTTATCAACATATAATACACTTGCGTCCTTACTTTCACTGATATCAACATTTAACAAAATATATTTCAGGCGTTTCCGCAGACGGGAAAACTGTTTTAATAATAAAAACAGCGATAAAGGGCTCTGTTCATGACAGTTCGGTTAAGATGGGATGTAAGAGTAAGTGTCACATTGGATAAAAAAAAACTCTACTTCCAGGTGAGAGTTGAAGATAAAGTAATGGATTTCTTCGAAAATATGTTCCTTAAAAAAATAATAGAAAATGAGGTTGTAATTAAAAGTTAGTTCATTGGCAAACACAAATAATATAGATTGAATATCCAGATTCAGTGACATTTTTTTTGATTGGGGTCGTTTCACCATTTGATCGTCAGATCACAAGTCGTTTTTGGTACTTGGGTATTTTATTGTATTCTTACTATTAGGGTAAACGCTCCTATAGTAGCGGTACGTTAGAAGCGTTAGGTTCCTATAGTTGTGTATGGAGTCTCAATACACACCTATAGGAACCTAACGCTTCTAACGTACCGCAACTATAGGAGCGTTTACCCTACCATAAATAAATTGGCAGAATGGGGTGCATCATTCGAGTACTTTTGGGACGAACTCCTACCTGAGATTTTAAGAAAATATACTAAATATACTAAGCAGCATGATTTCAATACTACCCATCTATCAAATCTCATAAAATACGTAAGATGTAGCTGTATTAGTTTTTCATGATTTGTGATATTCTCGATAACACCAATACCACCAAAATGGAAAACAAATACAAGCAAGTGATTGATTGATTGACATTTGAGCCTTAAACAAAAATGATGTACAAGGTGCTAAGCTGCGGTAGAAACTCCGAATCAAATAAAAATAAAAATAGAAGAATCATTCTGCAATCCTGGCATCATCGGTCTACTCCGTCAAACACCATGCACTAATTTTCTACGGGCATTCATCAAAAACATTAAGAAGAGTGAGAAGCTGAATTGTCAAGTCCCGTCCCGGATATGACCGTCTGTTACAGTGACTAGAGTCGGTGTATAATGAGTCACGCCAAGAGAAAAACAGTTGAACTCGCATCACGGTTTTCGAAAGATTCCCTTTCTTTTAACTTGGCAACAGAGGACTTCTGCATCAACTTCAAATGACTTCTAGCGAGGAAAAAAAATAACGGCTGTAGTATATCATTATATCAGTGATTTTGTGGAATTATCTTAAGGGAAAATAGTAGAAATTGTCATTACTGATCATTACAAAACGTATCGCATGACAAATGTTATGCTCACTGTGTGTATATGATCATTTCTTCGGTTATATTTAATATTTAATTGCAATACCTTTCGTGGACCTTTCATAGCATCGTAATGCTTGTTTACTTTGCACGATAGGTAGCCGGTTTGACAGTTCAATAGGTAGACTTGGCTTCACTCTTGGCGTGACTCATTATACACCGACTCTAACAGTGACAACTCGTTCGTGAGGTGGATTTGAAAACGCGCGAATTTCTAATGCGTGTTGCAAAATGCATCGCACGTGTAATTTGACTAAAGATGTAAAACGATGTAATCAAATAAATTTTAAAATTTTCCCTTGATTACAAAAGTCTGTAAATATCTGTGAAAAAACTAAAAAGTATGTAAATGTCTGTCACGTAAAAAATATCTGTGAAAAAAATTAAAGTCTGTAAATTCACAGACATGTCTGTAAATCTGGCATCTCTGGCGCTATATATATCGCAGAATTTGACATGATTTTTTCATACGAGACCCGATGTGCTGCCCAACTGATTTGTGATCAGCCTCCTCCATCATCTTGCAAGCGTAGGAGTTGTGTAGAAGTAGACACTTTATTTCGCTTCCTGGTTTCAGATTTGAAAAAAAATTCTTATGAGGGCCTTGGACTATGACCGCGCCAATTCTACTCACGCCTCTGTATCATTCTTACATAATGCAACAGAAGAAAAAAACAAAATCATAAAACCCCCATCTTAGAAAAAGGGGAAAAACTAATTCCCGAGGAACAATAAAAAAAAGCAAAATTTGACGCATGAATGACGAGATTTCTAGATCGGTGCAAAACGCACAGGGAAAGCGAACACGTTCGTCCTCTGACTGTGCCTGCCTGCCTGCCGAGAACAAAACAACAAAAACAACATTCCTTGTCATAATTCGCAGCAAGAAAAACCGTTAGACAGGTAGCGGATTCATTTCATCATAGAAATATTGTTTTTCTCCTCAAGAGTTGAACGAACAGAAGGACGACGACATTTTACATAAATAGTTGATCGGCGGCTTTTCAGAAACAAACAGGAAACTATAAGGTTTCTGCTTCTGCTCTCGGGGTTTACTCAACTTCAAACCGGAAAGGTGTCACTTTTATCTTGGGATTTCAATCGAAGATTTTTTTAATTTCTCCACTCGCGACTGACGTTAATCTGATAGTTTTGACCCCATCCGATGGCTTTTGATGCGTGAGTTATGAGCTGATGCTTGATTCTTCTTCTTTTTTTTACAGAAGGAAAGACCCAACCGAGGCGGGGACTCTGCAAGTGGTTCAACGTGATCAAGGGATGGGGTTTCATCACACCGGACGACGGTGGACAGGATGTGTTTGTTCATCAGGTAAGGGGACTGGATGAGGGAATTTTTGTCAGAATCATGCTAATTTCGTTGGCTTCTAGAGCGTTCTTCAGATGGAGGGATTTCGATCGCTGGGGCAAAATGAACCGGTGGAGTTTGAAGCCAAGTTGACTGATAAGGGATACGAAGCGACCAAGGTCTACGGGCCGTCACTGAGTCAGTGCAAAGGCAGCGAATTTAGGCCACGTGCCAAGCGGAAGTACCGGAAGATGAGGTAGGTTTTGAGTGGTGGCGTATGTGCAATGCGATATTAACAGAAGATCAATTCTCGACAGATGCTACAATTGCGGTGAATTTGCCAACCATATTGCTCAGATGTGCGCTTTGGGTCCTCTTCCGAAACGGTGCCACCATTGCAAGGGCGAAGACCACTTAGTAGCGAACTGCCCGAGTAAGCCAGCGGTAAGCCAATACGATATGATTTAAGGTTTAAATTCGCACGATACTTGAAGTCAAGCAAGCAACTGTTGTGGTGTGAGTTTTCATCAAGCATTGCCGTATTTTCGTAAACATAGCTGCTTGAGTTCGTTTGCAGTGATGAAAATAAGCCGGGTAAAGGAGGGGGGGATGTCAATTTTCATATTTTTTCAATGACTATCTGGTTACCACCTAAAATGAAACTATTCAATAGGTTCTTTTGATGCTACATCAATGTAGAGTGCGCTAGGCGATTATGAGAGGAAATGTCATCCAAACCAAACATAAAAATAACGATTTTCTAAACTCAAAATACAGAAATACGATTTTGGCAACAAGCCCAAAAATTTAGTGTTGCCGTAATCTAACCGTGCCAAAATCGAATGATTTTTTTTTTAATTTTATTTATGATTTCGTTGATTTTGAACCACCGTGAGTCATCTTTATGACATAGTCGGTATAAATGATTATCCTTTTATTGAAAACTGTTTTCACAAGGAGCAAAAACACATTATTTTTAAATTCTATTCAATTTTGACACGGTGTCAAAACTGAACCATTTGCCAAAAACTATAACTTTATATCCCATATGGAAGATCAAACTGAAAATCTATCACCCGTAAAATGTATTTTACTAATTGCATGGTGGCCATTGGCGTAGCAATAAAAAATTTATCGGAGGCTATGAGGGCCTGTGGCATTTTTTTGATTTGTTAAACCGTGATTAACCCTTAAAAGTCCGGGACAAACATTTTATTTTCAAAAAATTGTATTTCAGAGAAGCCATGGCTGAGCATGGCATTATGAGAGATTTAAATTTTACCATATGGAACCATAATCCGGAATATCCAGAACCGGTTCTACGGTCACCATTTAGCTCTATGGTTATCATTTTGAGATCATCGAGTAGAAGTGATTTGATATGTCGCATGATATGGTTATGTGAGATAATAAATTTGACCATATAAAACCATAATCCGGAACATCCGGAATCGATTCCAAGGTAAACATGGGTTATTATGATTGTTCTTTATTATTTTCTCGAGTTACAATAACAAATCATATGTTGTCGCAATGATAAGTAAGATATATGATAAAGATTGAAAAAACACTCCCGTGCCAACACATCCTAGAATATATAACAAAGAGGGAGGGGCCTTAGGTGGAGTACCACCCAACAGATGTAAGAACCACTCTCCGGAATTATGTTAAAAAAATTAAATTTATTCGGCCATGGTATTTCTGAGATACACATTTTTTAAAATAAAAAAATTGTCCCGGGCTTCAACGGGTTAAATAGAAACTCTGGAACTGCCATTAAATCAAAAGGCGTTAAGGCTATTTGTTATTTTATTTTCCACTTCGTCCAATAATACGACCTATTATGGCGAAGCCTACTATTATATTAATGGTGAAACATAAAATTTTATTGTATTTATTTCATAAGCCTTATAAGCATACTGATGATAAACAAGCAATGATCGTTTGTTCAAGCTTTTTGTGTTGAAATTATAGTATTGTATATTTGTATTGTATAGTATTGTTATAGGATTTTAAGGATCTCAAACTTAAGAAAATTCTCATGTTAGATAATATTCAGGGTTAGAGCTTCCATCCCGGGACGTCCCGGGATAAAAAATCCCGGGAACGTCTTAGAAGTCAAAAGCCACTCATTTGATTTCAGAGAACTTCCTAAAGGTTCGTAAAACGTCGTAAAAGTTCAGGGACTGTTATAGATCTACAGGATACTTCGTAGAATTTTTATCAACTTCGTACAATTTTAGGGAACTACGTTGAATTTTTTAAAGTGCAGCAAATAGGAGTTCAGTTAACTCTGAGAATGCTCAGCGAACTTTGTACAACTTCAGTGAACTTCGTAGAAGTGCAGCGAAGTTTGTTGAACTTCAGCAACAACTTCAGAACGTTAGAGAAATTTCGTGAATCTTGTAGAAACTTTGAGAACTTCGTTGATGTTCGGGAATCGTTTCTTTAATTCCATCGAACTTCGTAAAATTTCAGCAACTTTGTCGATGTTCAGGGGACAGCGTAGCTTTTCAGGAAATTTAATAGGTATTCGGAGAAATTCACAGAGCTTCAGAGAATTTCGTATACATTCAGAGAGCTTTGTTAAAATTTGGGAAAACTTCATAGAAGTGGGAACTTCTGTTTGGGGAACTTTGATTATTCCAGGAAACTTCATAGAAGTGGTCCAGGTCCATTTCTTAATTTATTGATTTATTTATTTATTTATTTATTTATTTATTTATTTGTCGACAATCAGTGTAGACCGTTTTACAATTTTACTTAAACGCTAATTGTTACAATTTTACTTCAAGTACTTGCAAAACATTTATATTTTATTATTGATACCTAGCTAACCTATTGAAGAAAGTTTTTTTAAGCGTACTTTTATTCATTGATATGTCAATAGATTCACTGTATGTATTATAGCAAGAAATCATTCTATTCAATGGGCTATTTTTGGGATAGTCTGTTCTATGATTGTTGATGCTAAACAAATTTCTATTCCGCAGTGAGCGAGTGGGAGCATAAAAAATAATATTTTCCAAAATCTCGGGGCTGTTAACTCTTTGCGAAATCACATCGTTTATAAAAAGCAATGATTGCGAACTCTCTTCGCTTTTTGAGCTCATATAAATTAATTAGCATACAACGCGATGCATAAGATGGAAGTGGAAAACTCGCCCTACCCAACTTTCTTAGAGCAAACAACAAGAACTGCTTTTGTAATGCGGTTTACATGTGTACCATGATATGGTTGCCCAAACTTTGCTAAACTATTGGAGAAGAGGCCTCGAATATGCTACGTAAAGTGTTTTGTTCGTGTAGGGATCATTTAAGTGCAAACTAAATTTTTTAATGGTACCGAGCATGTTGCTTGCTTTGTAGATAATGTTATTGTAGTGATCAGTAAAGGTTAACTAGTAAGTAAAGGAAGTACACTCGACTCCAAGGATAAATTAAACAGCCATAATAAAGGTTTTGCTAGCTCCTGACTTTAAAAAATAGGTGGTAAACCATCCGGTCCAGCACCCTTTGAAGCATCCTAGGTTTCAAGACCACGTATAATTTCATTGACAGTTAAATTATCAACTGCGATGTTCTTCATTGGCTTGTGGAGATACAAAAAATATTGATAAATCAACTAAATCTTGCTCATTCTCATCGTGAATTGTATAAACGCCCTGAAAGAAGTCAGCAAATAAGTTACTAATCTGACTAGGAGTATTGACCAACCTACTGTCTAATTGCATTTTTGATGGAAAGCTCTTGGATTTTTGCATTTCTTCAGCATAGTTAAAAAAGGTTTTTGGGTCTGACTTAATGTTAGTTTTAATCCCTTTTGTGCTCTTCATATGCATTTTCAATTTCTAAATTAAGTTGGTCACAAGTGGTAAGATAATAGGTAAAATTTTCATTTTTTTTTTTGTTTCTCTTGTACGCTTTATGAGCTTTCTACTTTCTATTTCTAAGATTTATTATCGGTCTATTTTACCAAATTGGTGCTTTTGCATTCGTTTTTTTTTCTTTTGCTTCATGAGCACTGTCTGTTCTATAATAGAATAAATAATCTGATAGAATACATCAACTGCATGTTCTGCATCATGACTACGGATTACAAGTTGCCAATCTATACTGTTCAATTTATTATGGAGCTATCAAAAAAGTCTGCCTTACTGAAATCAAAATAGGGGTCTTACAAATTGTTATGCACCATTGCGGTTTTTTCAACTATCTTTATGGAGTATGCAAAAGCAGTGTGGAACACTTCATTTTTCCAAAGAGGAGAAGATGACTCTGACACGCAAAAATCATCAGTCATGGTAGTAAATAGCAAATCTAACTAGCAATTATTTTGATTTTTTATATGATTTGCTTGATTTAATGCAATTTCTGTAACAAAGTATGAAGTGTTTCATTTTCCCCTTTAATCGGAATCAAAATGGATTCATTTTCGTCTTCAACAATAAAATTAGCTGCCCGTTGATTAAAATATCCGTTTATGTGAACGTTTGCTTCAGCCTCGAATTTCGAGATATTACAATTTTTCAAATGCTTCTTTTTTGGCATGTTCTGGTGGAAAATTCACAACCGCGAAAATATGAGCTCGATCACCAATAATTTATTTGACCCATACATGGTCAAACTCTTTGTTCTAACTAACTAACTAACTAACTGCTATTAACACACTTTAATTACAGGGAACTTTGTTAATGGTTTTGTGAGTTTGTGGAATTCCGTAGAAGATCAGGAAACGTTGTAGAACTTCACAAAACTTTGCAGAAAATCATCGAAAATCCTTAAAGTTTAAGAAACTTCATAATAATGCAGTGAAATTTGTAGAAGTTTATTACGGGGAATTTTGAAAAAGATCAGGAAACTTCAAAAAAAATTCTGCAAACTTGCCAAACTTCTTGGCAACATTTGTAGATGTTCTGGAAATTTCGTAGAGGCTCAGGTAATTTCATTTCTTAGAAAAGGTTCTGGTTCTTTCCAGATGTCGGGAGAAGTTGATGAATGTTATGCGATCGCAAAAACAATTATAGATCTTAATAAAACCAGAGAACTTTGTAGAAGCTCAGCATAAGGGAACTTTGTACATAATTACGGAAGATTGTATGAATTATTTGAAATTCGTACAAGTTCAGTAAGCTGAGCAGAAATTCAGTTGTAGCTATGAAAAAATCTGAGAACTTCGTAGAAGTTGACGGAAAATCCCATGAGTTCATTGTTATTTAAGGAACTTCATAGAGGTTTTGACTAAGTTTAAGTTCAAGAAACTTCTTGAAAGTACTAGAATATTCGCATAAGTTCCGTAAGCGTCGTGAAATATTCGATAGCTTTGTTGATATTCACGGTTTTTCGATGAGATATCAATAAAGTTCTCTGAATATTATTCAAGACTTTTCAAATTTATCTAGTATTGTTCTGAAGATCTGCAACTGTTCAAAAATTCAAATAAC